TCACCTGCCTCAGGCTCCTGTGCTTCCTCCCGAGGCAGCTGTACCGCAGGCAGAGAACCAGAAGGACTTGCAGAGTCCTGTGTTTCCGCACCCGGCTCCATTCTAGCCGCATCGGTGGCACAAGCTCCCTCCTCCTCCTCCTGAGAAGAAAAGGCTGGAGTCTCGGGAAACCTGGCGCTTTCACAAGGAGAACACCGCATTTCAACCGAGGAACGCCGCACCGTCACGCTTTCGTTGCAAGAGCTGTCTGCCCCTTCCGCATCGCTCTCGCCTTCTGGCCGGGTACTGGCCTCGCTGACGCTTTCCGTGCGAGCAGGATCACTCTGCTCGGTTTCTGATGACATCTGGGAAGGTTCAGACCCTTGATCGACGGACTCCGTTTCACTAACGCCCCTTCTGCTCCCAGCAGCGGTATCGGCAGCTCCTGCGTCCGCACTGCCTGGAGGGTGCTCTGCCTCCTGAGCAGCACTCGACTCGCTGCCAGCCTGGTCTGCTGGTCCTTCGCTTGGAGAACCTTGCAGGCTTCCGCCTCCTGCTAACTGTGTCTGCAGAAGCTCTGGGAGGGTCTCCTGCTGGTCATCAGCTGATGGTAAAGCAGCTTCAGAGGCTGAAACGTTTTCATTCTCTGCAGGCCCTTGCATTACCTGATCCGATGAGTAACTCAAACCATTTCTTTCAACATTTCTGGTAGCACCATTAAGCATTACTAAGCCACCATCATCTTCCAGTGAAGATGGAAAACCCAGGTCTTGGTGTAGCTCATGCTCCTCTTCGTCTGAGTCAATGTGAAGCATAGCATTAAGTCTCGTGTCAGTAGGGAAGCTACTCCTCAGTTTTGGGGAGGCTCCACGTGGACGCTCACCACAGGCAGACGTCCCAGGTCTGGGATGATTATTGTGTCCTATTGCATCCAGATAGTCATTCAGCGAGTCCTGGCGACCTCTGGTAGGTGACGACCTTGAAGCACCAGAGGTCAACTCATCCTGGTCCGTTTCCAGAGTTCTACTAGTCCTGAAAGGGTGTCTCAGGATGGTTTCTCCAGAAGATTCCTCGAGGACTGGACCATTGGAACACACTGTGGACGTATCGTGATGCCCTGTGGGCATGTCCTCATCGTCGGAGGGGCTCCCCAAGTCTCCATTTACAGAGTTCACTCCTAGCAAAGTGCCGACTGTTTCCGGCGAAGCATCTGCAGAGACACAAAGACTGGACATGAAACACAATGCAGCAACAGACAGTTCATTCTACTTGGTCTACATCGTGGAAGATCACAGAAGTGATGTAAAAATACAAATCTTTCACTGGAACGGGTTGCCCAGAGAGGTAGTGGAGGCCCCATCCCTGGAAATATTCAAGCCCAGGTTGGACAGGGCTCTGAGCACCCTGATCTCGTTAGTGGTGTCCCTGCTCACTGCAGGGGGGTTGGACTAGATGACCTCTAGGGGTTCCTTCCAACCCAAAACTTTCTATGATTCTATGATTCTATGTTTGCTTATTTCCATCAGACAACTAAGGGAAAAAAACACAATTAAAACAACAGAGGCTTCTACAGCATTGTAAGAGCAATTACAGAACCTTCTCTGCACAAGTCTATACTATTTTGTAGGACGTACAAAATGTAAGGGGTGTGAAGCAGGACTTTAAAGCACTCCCATATTGCTTTCAAAAGACAGAGCACTGCCAAGCACCTTGCCAAACTGTCAGTAAAACCAGCCTCACAACCAAGAAATAGTTTTCTAGAGCGTATCGCTCGTATCCAAAGGTAGGATTTACACAAAGCTGGTCACAGACACCAGCTGTCACGACAACCTCAGCAGCATGCAATCCAGCATCTGAGACCACAGGAGGAATCACAAATTGTGTACAGACACCAAGTTACATACACAACATTTATTTTCCATTACTTTATAGGACTTTTCCACTCTAAAGAACGGGAATCTACCTAAGCAAAGTTCATGAGGTATTAGGTATACTACGGTAACACATATAAAAGGGAAATGAAAACAAGCCATCTCATTTGAGAGATAAGATGGTAACTCCCCACACGGGAATTAACTGAGCAGAGAGTCGAATCATCCAGATGTGTCTGTGAACGTCTGCAAAAAACCTACCAGCAAAGCCTGTGAACTGGAGGGCCTGGCAACAAACAGCACTGAAGACAAGCATTTTTTTAATACTGACAGAGCAAAAATAATAATGAGATACAGGACTACATGGCTACAAAAAGAGGCAAGAAGGTTGTAGCCAGTTAAAAGATAGCGCAATACCTCCCTACCAAAGAGATGACACCAAGTCGAGTGAAGGAGAATCTAAGGCCATAAACACGTAAAAAGACACACACGATGTGACAGGCGTGCAACTGCACAGCCACGTTCTGCCAGCTGCCTTCCAAACAGGAGCAAAGGGAAATAAAAGAATTGGAATGGAAGCATGTATTGTCACAGCCCAGCAGATACTGCTGGTGCCAAGCAGGACAGAGTCCTGTCCAAGGGGGACAAGGCCAGCGGGCTCTGCGTGTACACGAGCAGAGGAGGAGAGCACAGGTGGAACCCTGCAGGGCTTATCTCAGCCCAAGGTGTGACAGAGCGAAGAGAAAGAATGAATGCCATTACCCAATCTATTCCATAAACTGAGACTCATAAGTAGATTCATCTAAAATCTATCTAACAACACGAAAACAACATGGTAAGTGTTGGTGTTTTAGAATTATCATCTCCAAAGCAGTACCTGACATATCTAAACTCTCAATCCCAATAGAAAAAAAAAAAAATCTATAATAGAGGCACTGTACACAAATGAGAAACTATATTATCACAGAAAATCCTACACACAGAAACTCTCTCCATACAACTATCTGGAGGTCCCCATCACTGACAAATTCTCACCTTCGTGAACAGAAGATGTGATTTCCACTTTGAACTGGAGATACCCACTTACGTGATCAGCCGGGAGCCTTCTGCCGAGATTATAGCTGAGAACCTGATCTCTGCAAAAACAATTTTAACGAGTTTTATTCTTCCAGTGTTTTGTATCAGAGGCTTTTATCAGATAAGAGTCAGCGTGACAGAATATAATTTCTGTTAGAATCTCAAAATCAGCCACATACTGTGGCGTGTATGGAAAAGCACAGACACCAGCAATGCTGTAAAATACCTTTAGTTAACAGATAAAACAGCCCCACAAATTACTTTCGAACATTTCCAAACACAAAATGTGCCCCAGCAATTCTTACACATCACCAAATCTCTTCTTGAGCCCTAAAGAAATCCAATTGCAAAGGATCCCCTTTCCCCTAGCCTCCTCCTTCCCCCGACCCAAGGCATGTTTTACCATTAACAAAACCTTTCATTTTTTAAACCCCTCCGTACCCCTGGGGTTTTTACCATATATAAAACTTCCCAGGTAGCTTCTGCATGTTTTAATTCTCATCCACTAAAGCCCTGCTGCATTCCTGTTTAGAAAAGCTATTAACACTTGGATTTAACTTCAAATTCGTTCTTCAGGGTTATTGAATTCAGCGGGACTCGGACTTGATGAAGCACCTGCACCAGCCTGAGACGTCGGATCAGCTCCTAGGCTACACGCTGTTGTTAGACACAGCCAGGACGCAAACCCCCAGCCCCGCTCAGCACAGCCGGGACAGCTGAAGGGAGACGAGGGGGCTGCTGAAGACCTCCACAGGGAATTATTGCTATTTATGCAAACAAATTTATACTGGTATAAACACCTCTCCCTTTCTGGCAGCACTCCCTCTGCAATGTGAGTGACGGACTAAAATGAATGCCAGGTCATTACTGAAACAAGCTGCAGCAGTTGGCATCCAAACATCAGCTTCTACCAAAACAAGTCCTGAGTGGAGATCATAAGGCCAAGCAGCCTTCTCACGTTGTTCTACGGGCCACAGAACATCAAATTACTATAGCAGCACCTCCAGGACCTGTCACAGATTCACCGCTCTGTGCTCCAGAGACACTTCTCAGCTAGACCCAGGGTGTCCTCAGCAGCTTGCCATTTGAGATTTCCAGTGTATAAGGTTCATATCACTCTAGACCATTTGAAATTAGAGAAAGCCACGACACGAATAAAGTCTGCTCTGTATTCAGCTGAATCCATACGAGATGATTCTCATGCTCACTTGTCATATATTCCATGAAATTCAAAGCCGCTTGGCCATTTTGTTACGCAAACTTTTGAGCTATGCCGACAGCTACAAGCTGGGCAGAATTTTAGTGCAGTCTGTCTAAAAATGGCTGGTTTTGCACTTTACCTTCTCATTCATTAATACTGATCATTAATAGAGGACGGGCAAGTTAGGCATATGGTGTACTGTAAGACCTTGGACTTTGTTCGTGTAATTTTTCAGGTTCACATCTTAACCCAGCAGAGGATTTCAGCAGTCCTTGATGCCACCAAAATGAAGAAGAAGAAAGTGAGGATGTTTTACTTGCTTGGCCAAAACCAAAACACAAGAGAATTAGCACTGATTCTATGTTTGGGACATTTCTGCTTCATGTCTATATTAACCACTCCTTTACTTTGCCAGACTTCTGGTGGCCTGTTGTCTGTCTTCACAATGTCTAGGAAAAAGGAACCCTGACAGCTGACTGTCACGCAAAAACTATAAATAGACAAATCAATCACGGATGTATAGATAAAAATACCTGCAAGACTGATTTCATGTCAGTTCTAATAGCTGGATGGCAAAATCAAACTGAATACTTACCTATATTCTCGCTACGTATTTATTATACAGCCCTTCCTTTAATAAAAAGATTTTGCATCTCAAATATACAGAGCCGAAGTGGGGAGCAGAAAGCAGGAAACGTCTTCCAGAATACCGATTTGAAAACACCTAGACAAGAACTGGTGAACACAGCAAACGGGTCATTTCCAGACCTCACAGCACCAGGAATCCCAGGGCAGAAACACGCTCTGGGGTTTAGCACGGAAATGAGCAGCCTGAACCAGGCTTTGAAACCAGCCTGTATCAAGGTGCTGTCTTTGAGTCTATAGCAGTGTGCAAATTCTTTAGAACAAGCTGCTTGCTCAACTTACCACAACTCACTGAAATTCAAAGGTGAAGCATTTCTTAGAAAAGTGAGATTGTATCTACACCTTAACCGCTCTCGGATACCACCACAAAACAAATGGGCAAGGTTGGTGTTTGGGATTTTTTTAAAATAAAATCTGTATCAGAAAACATCATCAAATTTTAAGCTACTCTTGCAATTTTACTCTTACTTTACTTACCAACGTAATCAACATTTTTGAAACTTAAAGCTGAAAACTGTTTTCAAACTGAATTTGATTTTCTCCATTTATGCTACTTGTTACTTCGACGGGAGTATCTGTGACAAAGGAGGCCGGTCGTTCATACCCTGCTTTCTGTGCAAAGGCGTGATGACACTGCCATGCACGTCAGCTTTCGGGGAGGAATACCTGCATTTTACTTCATCATTCCTCACGGGCCTCATCCAGTAGCCTTCTGAAGTTAATGGAGACACACCAACTTCAGCAGACTTCGAGTTAGGTCAGTTCGGTTCCTCCCGTTGTCTTTCAAGGAATTACTTGTTCTAATTTGTCAAATATAACATATATAGGTAAAAAGATTTTAAGAAAATCACCCAGTCTCAGGCTCTTCTCAGTGCATGTGGCTGTAGAAAGGACTCACCAGATCATCTACTTGACTACAGTATGGTCACCTCCAGTAACCATCAGGAAGTATGAAACATCTTAAAAATTTCTAAGTGACTTGCATCATTCTATCAGAACAGTAAGCTATCAAGAAATGAACAGAGATTTTTTGAAATAGCACAGCACGTGAATTTTGAGTACCATCAGTGCACTACTCATAGAAAAAGGCAATTTTAATTGCGTAGTACCACCAGCACTCTGAGAAATAAGGAGTCCCAGCCTTGCAGTTCTGGCCTGTTAGCTGAGCAGATATTAAATCTCTGACTGTTAAGCTGACAATTAAAAACACTTGAACTGTGAAAGAAGTGAGACAGTAAAATCTGCTGCTTCTAAAAAATTTGCACACAATCATGTATTACTGTAACAATGCCTTGTTTCTTGATGAGCTAGCCAGAGGGTAACGTTTTCTGTGAGGGTAACATTTTTTGTGTGAAGAAATTCAGCTAAAAACAAATTATATATACACAAACATGGGTATGTGCATTCAGAACAGGGTGAGAAATGCTGATGTTTTCCAGTCGGGCAATAAGGCCATTAAAATTTCTACTGAATTTCCTACTACGGATGCAGCAGAAGCTCGCGGCTCTGCACCAGGATCCTAGATGCTGAGTCTCCCTGACCAACAGACGTTAGCCTTAAGAACATGTTCATTTACCCAATGGCATGTCTCTCCAATAGTCTCTGGACTGGTATGGTTAACTTCCCAAGAAAGCGCTTGATGATCGGACGACTCTTGGCAAATTTGTCTTTAACCTCAATTTCCAGGACATCTGTTAGAAGTGCAACAAAAGAATATTTCTGGAAGGAAAAAACATATTTGACACCATATCAATACACCTTTACTTAGAAAGTGTGTACCCACATACTACTAGCATGCAGTGAACTCTGAAAGCAATGATTGATGACAGCAGCTTCCACACTGCAAAATAATGTCAGCATCATTTCTTAAGCACTGCATTTCCGTACACGTAACCGGCCTCTCAGGAAACCCATACTCTTTCACTCTTCCTCGAAAATGATTGCTCAGTAAGAAACTGCACTGGATAAAAGCTCTTTCCTCACCTACATCAGCAAGGAGAAAGCAATGCATGGTAGTGCTTGCTCCAATGTGGACAGTAGGAAGCAAGGAGAGCAGGAACCCTTGCTGTGCTGGGCCAGGTTACAGGAGAGGAGCCAGGTCAGGGAGGAGGGAGGAGGAAGGCCTCTCACTCCAGGCTGCGCTCAGTGAGCTGCCCTTCCAGCACCACGCTTTGCATTAATGTTTTGTAGGCAGGACAGGAAGCTAAAAGGGCAATGTGTACACAGTATTTTCAGGAGCACTACAACTAAAGGAGGAGAATATAGATTTTCGCCTAAAGTTCAGCCAGCATCTCAGCAAGCTCCAACAGAATGTTTTTCTGCACTTGGGGCCTTCAAACAACATGGTGCTAATTTATAACAGGCTTCCTGTTGTCTGGTAAGATCTTTCTGCCACCTGTCCCTACGAGGGAACGCTATCACAGTTACTCTCGTCAGCCTAGCACCAAGTTTCATGCAGTTTATGAACACTGACTTCATCTTCGTGGTACAGGGCAAAGGTCTGAGCAGGCTTGCTGGCATACAGACACGCACACACACAGAACGTGATAACAAATTCCCTTAGGAAAGAAAGCTGAGGAACCAAAGATCTTTGTTTTTTCCTCTAGATTTTAAGATATTTCAAACAAACAAACAAAAAAGTATCTTACAACCTACTCGGAAAAGCCGAGGTCACCTGGTTATACTTTCACTATCTGCCACCTTTCAGATCTCCCAGCAAATCACAACCCGAGTACAATGCCTAACGCACTTCTGGCGAGACAGCTAACGAAGGATGGAACAAGGAACAAACGAAGGAACAACTCTTCAGTTCAGCTGTAGACATCAGCTAAATATATTCAAAAACAGCAATTAAATTGGGTTAGGAATAAAACCGCTTTCTCATGCTGGGCAACTGTCAGAGCTGGGTTCCTTTGATAAACAGAACTTAAAAATTTGTCACTCTCTGTTTGCTATAAAATTGCAAATTATTTTGCAGAAAGGGGTTGATGTAAAGCAGGACCAATTCTGCACCACTGGGACAGCACGTGTAACGGGATCATACGCTGCTGTCGTCAGAGCATTGCTTCAGGGAAGACACTGCAGTGAAAGCAAGCTGGTATAATGTGCACACCACTCATCATTAGCACTTGTCTAATAAGCTTCAAAACCAAGGAGAACTGGAGGAGAAAAGAGGGGAAAATTAAGAGTAGATTTTCTTCCTATCTACTGGATAGATGATTGGACAGAGAGAAGGATGAAGAATCAATTTAGAGATTAGAACTCTGATTTTTTTTTTTTAGTATTTTAAGACTTGCACACATCTGCAGTCTCTCCCACAACCAGCCACCCCAGAGCAGCGCTAATGCTGGCTCTGTTCTGTTCAGTTTTACTACGATTTGTGGGAACATTTTCCAAAGCCCACCCCATTCTCCAGTCCTCCTACAGCAGGCATTAACTTTCAGCACAGTACAGGCCTCTGCTCATTAGAAAACAGGCACAGGTAAGAATGCTGCTCGCCGGTCCCGAAAGGGTTATGGACTTGTGTCAGCGTTTCCACCTCGTTTCCCACATAAACACTTCTCTTCAAAGGCACAGCCTGGCTCTTCGTGCTCACAGACAGTGGTGGGACGGAGCTCCTTCTCCATGACCAGCCCAGCTTACCCAGCAACACCAACACACCTGGCCTCTGCCAAGCTGCCTTGTTTGGCCCCTTGCTGAGCGGCGCTGCGATGCCTCCCCGGGCTTTCCCTCCTCCAGCAGCGCACGCAGAGCCTGCTCCGAGGAGCATCCCCTCTGCCTGACACGACGGAGAGCCTGCCTCCTGCTACGCGCACGGAGAGCGTCACTGTCGCCATCACCGAGCGTAAACCCTCACTTACTGCACCTTTTCTTAACGGGTCTTCTCGCAACATGTAATCCATCTTGATTAATTTATTTTTGCAGTTTCATGAAACCTGCAGGGCTGCTGAGCGAGTTCAACTCTCGTTAGCAGAGAAGGGAATGAAAACCTCACAGCAGTGCAGCTTAAATACATAGCTTAAATACGCAGCTGATAGCTGTTTCTATCCAACAACAGGGTTCCTAAAATAACTACAATTTCTGTGTCAGTGTAAATAACTAGCTACAAAGTCAGCTCAGAGCCTTCCGAGAGCAAAGACCACCCCATAAAGAGAAAATACAAGCCCGGTACGCTGTGTCGGCTGGCAGACAGCTCTCAGAAGGGACACGTTACCTCTCTGTGCCACACCGGATTGGTTGTGTTGCTGATGATAGTCGACCTTCTTTCCTGGCCGTGATGAGCAAACGTAGGGAATGTACTTTTCTTGCCCGGCTGAATGGACATCTTTAGATAAGGATCAGGGTTGAAGAACATGCCTTTTTTAAGCCCAACTGCTCTAATATCTACAAAGCAAAACAAGAAGGAAGGAAAAAGGAATTGAGTAAGTTAAAGCTAGTTCACAAAGTAGCGCATTCCTAAAATATTACCCAGGAAATCGATTCACCATCAACTACTAAATAAAGCAACTTCAAGTCACCCCTACGTTAACTGTATCCAGCGTACAGAGACAGTTACAGCAGGAAGTCCAGTGTTTTCCCAAGGGAACAAAGGGAGGAGAGGCATCAACATCCTCATTTACCTTCCAGCCTCCAGTCAAATGTAAAACAAGAAGCATGGACCTGTAACTCACCTACAAATGTTTTTCTCAGTGAGTAAGGTATTTCCACTCTTAAACAGAAAAACCAAAACCCACAAAAAGCCCATTAACAGTACTTGCTCTGTTTCTGGGTAAGGGGCTAAGATTAAAAACTGCATGGGAGGTCACGTAGTGAACGCGCACTTTCCCGAAGTCGAGACTTCGATCAACGTAACTTCAAACAGTCATTCTCCAGGCTGCTCTGGACGGTGATGCACGCTTTCTCCCAACTTAGAAGACGACAACGTCTCAACAGTCTCACGCAACAGGAGGCCAAGTTTGCAGAAAACTCTTCTTTCTTCCTAGGCAAACCTCAGTACTTGCAGCCCTTGTGACTTCTAACAATAAACAATATTTTCCTCTGGTGCGTATTCTCATGCCTAAGGACTTTAAGAGCTTCAACAAGTAGAAAGAGGGTTGGGGTGTTGTTTTAATACAATGACTACTCCTCTGTTTTGGTTTGCTGAATCACAAGATTTTTGTGTCTTTCTCCCTCAGGCACCCCAACACACTGCATGTGGTCTTCATGACTCTAACGCAAGGGGCATGTACATCCTTAGATGTGCAGTTTACACGCACAGGCAAAATTCACTGCACTAAGATGAAATGCCACGCCTGTGGATTCAGTAAAAAAAAAAAAAAAATCCTACCCAATGTTCAAAATTAAGCCACACAGTAGAAATACCATGAAATACAGGGTAATTGCTTTTAAAAGCAACGACTTATCACGTGCAAACGAGCAACCAAAAAGTGTTCCAGGAAATGCGTTAGATCTATCAGTCAATACACCTTTCAAAATTAATTTACAGGACTCCTCAGGCTGAGTCATAACCTTCTACTCAACACAACAGGTTTTTGGAATTCACAAACCAGTTGTTTTCATAGTACTCTACCTGAGTCTATACAACCTAGCAGCTCTATCCCAGGTACCTGCTCAAAGACCATCTCCAAAAGCAGAGTTTTTCTCTGCTCTCCCCCTACAATCTCTCAATGATTTCACTGTCAGCTCATCAAGATTCAGAAGCAAATTTTTTCTGTCTTCGCTCAAACTGAATATGCTTTAGTCTCACAGAAGACTTCCTGGGAAATAAAGTGCTAATTCAAACAAGTGAAGCTGGTAGACTGTACCCCTACAGCTATTTTGCTGTAGTGACAGCTTAGCTCTGTTACAAGATTTTTTTTCCCTTTTAAACCATCATTTGCAGCCATTGCTTTCTTACTCCTTCAAAGTGACGGAACCAGCTTGCATTTCATTCAGAGGCTAAGTTTTTTCACTCTTCAGTCTGAGAGGAACCGTCCCCTGTGCAAACTGGAAATTTCTCCAAATTTTTCGTGCTGGGATCCATCAAACCGATTTCTTTCACTCCTGGAGATTCACGATGCTGGCTTGTTTTCAACAAAGAGAAGTTCTACAGAAATGGCATCCTTCAAGCCACTAGAGTGTGCTCCTACAGCAGCTACTGAAGAAAAGCCTTCTATCTTTCATGTTATTTAAAACAGCTATTCATTTTTTTTAAAACAATAATTCGTAAGACAGAGTAGTGTTGTATTTTACCTGATAGGGTAAAGCTGACCAACTTCCGAGAGTGCTGGGCTCCAGAAGCACCTTCATCCGTGCCTTCTACTCCCATCTGAGGAGGAGAAAAAAACCGAGAGATACCACAGAAGTTTTCATCTGCTCTGTATGTGCCGAGGATGATAACACAACTGTAAGGTAGTACGCAGGGGAAGAACCTGACCAACTACTGCCTATTGCCACGGGCAGGCAAAGCTACAGCATTTATTTCTACAAAAATATCTGTTACTTGCACTATGCAGTGCTAATGCACCAGTACTTGGAATTTTCCAGAGAGAACACGTATAGGCTAACACACGTGCAGACACTACTAATCAGAGAAAAGGAGGCTCTGTTTCCTTACAGGCTTCCCTTCTGTGAAACACAACCAACCGTAGGGATGGGTGACACACAGCAAAGCCCCGTGCTGGCCAGTGGCAGCTTGGGTAACTTTCCTCACCTTCCACAAACAGGTAACTTGCTGTGCAACAAGAAAAGCAAAGCGATCAAAGCGAGACTAAGAAAAGCCTTCAGATCTAGGAACCAAAGCTCTTTCCAACAGAAAAGCACGTCAGATACTTCAATATGCATGTGGTCTAAAAGTTTACGCTTCACAGATTTTCAGGTTTGGTTTCCACTGAAATCCCTCCTTAGCTAAAGCACTGCTTCAAAATAAAAAAGTTGCTCGTGTATCAATGTCTAGCTCTTTCAAACGGCAGAAGAATTTGTCTTTCAAGACAGAGCTGTGCACGCAGCTGAGCAATCTACCACGAAGACACCAACGGAGCTATGGCTCTGCAGGCAGGCAGTGAGCTCCCTCCCAGGCAGCAGAGGCGACCCAGCCCGACGGAAACGCTTCGGCCAAACGCGGCGCTGGGGACTGCTGCTAAGGGCGGGACAGGGAGTCGCCTGATACTACTGAAAAAAATAAGCTGAAAAAAAACCCCCACATCTCTGTGTGTAGGTGAAGGATGCAAAGCAGCTTTCAGCAGCTGAACAGTGACTGGATTGATAAACGATTTCTGGAGCCACCGTAGCTGCGAGGAACCAACTCTGCATTAACTAAAAAAGTAATAATTCCTTTTTATCTTCCTTTCAGCTATTCAGTATCATTAGCTTTCAAATACTTCCCACAATGATCAGCAAGCACATGGGAATTCCACTGGAATTAGCAACCACCCAGAATTTCTCCGGTTGCAAAACTCTCCTACTTCACACGTCACAAGCAGTCAAACAAAGCGATGAAGCAACAGCGATGACGCTGATGCCTGACGTCCCCACGGGCCTCGGTGGTCTGGCGAGGGATCACAGCGAGCCAGCAAGCGCCCTCGCTCCCCAGCCAGCCCCTTCCCTTCCACTCCCTCGCTGCTGGCTGCAGGACGCGCCCGGGGCTCAGGGCAAGGGCTTCTCACCGGAGCGCTCCGAGCTGTCGCTTCCCCACGCAGCACGACATCCTTACGCCAGCGGCTTCGCACGGACACGCACGCGGTGACAGCTGGCAGTCACGTTACGAGGGCATCAACAGCAAGGGGCGAATTCCAGCCGGGTCGGTGCCCCCTGCTCTGCAGAGATTCCCTGGAAGCGGCACGGGGCGCAGCCCCGGGGAGGGCGATGCTGCCCAGGCGAGGCCAGAGGAACGCTCCGTATTTCAGTGGACTCTTCCGGGCTTCTTCTAACATCCGTGGTTATCTTGCTAGAAGTGTTAGTCATCAACACAAAAAGGCCTTCCTCATTCTACACCTATTTTTCTGCTACATCCCTGACTCTGCCTGAACAATACCGTTTAATTGCTAATGGTTACTTCAGTTTTTAGAAAACAGGATTTACCCACACCTCAGCTATAATAGAAAGAACTGTAACAGCGTTCCCTAGCACTTCCAAGGTTTAGCTATATAACCTTTTCCTGTCCCATTACGATCTGAACAGCAATTTCAATTTTTCTGTGCCAAGGACAACACTTCATCCCAGCACACGCGCTTAGGTTTTGGCGCGACAAAGGCTGCCTCCGGTGCAGCGCAGTGTTGCTCCGTGCTAGGTCAGCCCCTGCATTTCCACTAGCTCCAATGAACACCACAGAGCGTTAGTTGCTTATCCAAAGATGGATGGAAATGCCTGGTGCGATGCGCCGTCGGTAGGAGGAAAACCAGCAACACCAAGTGTCCCACCACACCACGGAAAGCGAGGACACAGGATGATCCAAGCAAGCAGGCAACTTATCGCAGCTAAAAAAACCAGAGCGGGCACACCCCTGACTCTCACCACTTCCACGAACAGCATTTCTGCACCAACAGACACCAGCAATGCCAAGAGAACAAAGTCTCCTGTACTGCACCGTGCTTAAGCTCAACCCCACAACCGTGGAGATGGCGCGAGGTATGGCCATTTCTCAGTAGGCACAGACCTGTGTAACTAACCCAAGACGGTGTTTCTAGGGAGTCTCATCTGAGCTGTCATACGACATTCTCATCCGCACTCTCAGCGCAACAAACCCCCCTGATACTAAACTACACCTTCTAGCAGGTGTGTAAATCCTACACAGTACCCAGGACCCTGCGCTGCCTTTCAAAGGAAAGAAATTTAACCAGCGACAGCCGGTTAACCCCTCACGCTTGACCAATGGCTCTGAAAGACAGGTCTCCTGGTAGCCACCAAGGACATCACTGCGTGTTCAGAGACAGATGCTCAGATGTCCTTCTGTGCAACGAATCTCAAAAGTATCGGTGGCCAGCACGACAAGCTCCAGAAAACACCCAAGTTCAAACCGTTTGCCCACCCAACATAACCATTCTGCGCCGCAGTAACTGTGTGGCGCAGCACATAGCCCATTTTTAGGGTTATTTTGAGGTGCGTTTTTTCCTTTGTTCAAAATCAGGCTACCTTACTGTCTTTAGTTTATAAATTGAAGACAGTGGCTGCCAAGCTCATTAACACGTTTTCTTCTGTAAAACACCAAGAGTTCATCTGCCTGCTGTGAAACGGTATCATTCGTAGTCAGATCTGACAAAGATCTGACAAATAAACAACGCTATCAGCTAGGTCTGTAATTCCAAGAGAAAGAAAACCACATTTGCTATGATGAGACACAAAGCCTCACCGAGCGCATACAGTTCCATCCAGCCACAGCACGCACTTGTAGACGACGTACAACGCTGCGAGAGGGCAGGGTCAGAAGAAAAGCTGTTCAGCCACAGTAACTCGTGCCCTGCGGTGCCTTCAGCACGGCAGTTGCCAGGACACCATCCTGACAGACGTGATCACAAACATTTGGCAGCCAACATCCATGAAGGGAACGCACCGAAACTCCACGTCAGCTGAAGAGCTGCCCTATTAGATACTTTGCTTCCATCAAAAGCACCTGGATCCAAGTCTGGAAGGCTCTTCTTCCACTACTTATTTAAGCAACTAAAAAAATCTCCTCTAAAACTTTCAGTGTTTCAAAAGAACAAGTCTCATAATGAAAGCACAGTAAGACAACAATAATTCTCAACAGTCAGAGAATTACTGAATTTCCATGGTATATAAACACTCCAAAAAAATCAGTAATTTTTGCAAGAGCAGAGTTTCATACAGTTATATTTTTGTATTACGAATTACTATCTCAGCAACAGTTTCCTTTTTAATATTGCCAAATAAGAAGAAACGGAGACTTTTGATAAGGATTCAGTCTGAGCTATATAACAAGTGCGAAAAATTTCTATTACAGTGTTAAATTACAGCAAGCTGTAAGCCCCAGAACTGAAAGCAAGCAAAAATCGAATTCTTAGCATAAAAGGTTTCAGTTAAGCTAAGTGACTTTTTACAGTTACTTTAACACAAACGATAAAAAACATGAAAAGCATTTCTCAATATTGGTGATTTTTGTCAGGCAATTTTTTTTTTTTTTTTTGCAAGAAATTGCAGTTAATGGTAAAACTAGGAGACTTACATGGACAGATTTGTCTGACAGTTAATATTATCATATACAAATGCAATGAACAAACAGGTTAAACTCACCATCACAGCAGGGTTCTTCACAGTGATACATGGAGTAGTAGCTCGGAGGGCTCCGCTAACACCATGGTAGTATTTAAAACAGATCTTTATTTCAGCTGCAAAACAAAACACAAAATCGCATGAAGCCCTTCATGACTGAGCTCAGGGAAGAGAGAGACAACACAAGGGAACACATGCATACCAGGAGCCCCAGCTCCCTTCTGTTCACGGGGTCCGAGTTTGGGCAGCTCCTCATACATCCTTGGTCTAAAACCACGCAATATCTCCTTCTCTGGAGATATTCAAGCCCCGCCTGGACAAGGTCCTGTGCAGCCTGCTGTAGGTGACCCTGCTTCGGCAGGGGGGTTGGACTAGATGACCCACAGAGGTCCCTTCCAACCCCTACTATTCTGTGATATTCTGTGATAATAACTGTAACCGAAATACATTCTCTCTCTGCCTGTAGGAAATTGGGAACCTGTCTCAAACTCTGAATAAAGTTTCTAGCTAAAGAGCTGGTCAATGCTACCTTTTTTTTAAAAAAAAAAAAAAAAGTTAATTTAAACTATATTTCTATTAAATCAGTAAAAAAACAATGGGACATTTTTTCCAGCTCTGACAGCGAGATGTCCATGGTCACTATTGGGTAAGAAATGCCTGAAGTATTCACCAGCTACAGTCCACACAAAGCCAGTTCACTATGTTTTGTGCGGGTCCATAGGGAAGGAAACGAGACTGGCACTGTTCTCTGAAGACAAGCCCAGTTCAACATAATAGGGTTAATGTGAATTATTATTTTTCAGTAGATTTATAAGCTGCAAATCAATAAAATAAACGTTTTATTCTTAAATTATCTAATTGTACGAAAACGGGACCTCTCTCTCCAGCCTTACACACAGAGGTGGTGCTACCAGCGTTGTATCTTGTTCATCTATGAAATGGCGAAAGCAACTGGGGTTTCTGCTTCTCAAACAGAAAGTAACCTATTTGATGAATGCATTCACATATATTACGCTGACATGCTGATTTAAGCAGTGGCATCCTGTTCAGGCAGTTTGAACAGTTTGGGGTGGGTTTCCCCCGTGGAAGCAGTAGTTCTCAGCTGAACTGCTCACCCCCGGAGTGCCTGTGCTAGGAGGGAGAGCAGCACAGACGAAGATGCGCGAAGCTGAGCAGCGGCAGCGGCTGGGCGACGCGCCGTGCCCTGCTTTTTCCTGACCTTCGGCAGGGGCAGAGAGAACAGAGAGGCTGCAGGGTCCCACCACTCTCACAGCCAAACCCAGGACTGCACAGAATCAGGGCAGAGCCTCGGGACAGATTCTCCTGGATTACAATACAACCCTAGCTGCTGTAAGGTAACCGCTTTTTGCTCCGAGTGGATTCTTACAAGATGGAGGAGAAAAGAAATCATTAGATCATCTATTCTGATCATTATCGTGCTCTTGGCCACCCCTTCTCCCCTTGACAAAACAAACCTTGACTTACTGACTCCTGAACTATTTGCAGCACCCCAGCATCACCCTTGCAAAGCTGAACGGCGGCGCAGGGTTGGGGCGATCATTCCCATGCTCCTACAAGATGCTCCTCCGCTTATACACCCCAGAAATGCATTACAGCTTCTCACAGGTTACACAGCAAGCTGGTGCCGAGGTGCAGGATAAGTGGCCTGCGTGCCTTTCATTCTGAAGTCAGCAATATCAAAATTAATTTTATTTGGCTGCGCCTAGCTTGCTAAATCAGCCTATATGTATCTTCAATTGCTTTTATCCATTCCACTAATTCTTTAAATCAGTAGGAACCCTGGATTTCAAACCACTGATGCAAATGTTTAAAAGCACCACATCTTTCATTAACTCCTGCAGGGCCTTGTTAATAAGATTTCACTTTTTGTGTAACCTGTCAAACCTTTTCCTATCGTTTAGCATGCCAGTCCAAACATACCCTTCACCCTGGTAAAATAAGAGAATAAACAGAGACAACCTGAGGATGAGAGAAAATACTGTAAAACACAATCCCTGACAGCTTGGGTTCTGCCCCACCCTCCAGGTGTTCCGGCACACTGGTGAGAGTGGGGATGCAAGCATGGCTGCCCACGGTGGAACCTACTGACACGCTGGTCGGTGTACTCGCGAAAGCTCGTTCCACAGGAGCAGGAGCCATCATTCAACTATCTGTCTTCAGAAATACTTCAAGAGGAAATCAAGAACATAGCATCTGGTTATCTCTGCTTTGTATGCTGGGACCTTCTGTTACTTGGTGGGAGGGGGAGGAGGAGAAAAAAGTAACTTACCTAATTCTGCAGCTTACATTTCTGCTACTATTTCAACATAATCAGCTACGAAAAAGGGTTACCGAGACATTTGCTACTAGGATGATGCCTGCCAGATTCTGGAAGCAGTTGCATGACACGTACCCGAGGGAAGCCTGAAGCGCTTTGTGTTGGAACAGGGGAAAGGTGAACGCTGCACCACGTTTCTGGTCCCTCTGAATAGTTTTGTTTGCTCAACTGCATTTACTGCAGACAAAAGAGCATTATGTTTCACCAAAGCCTGACCTCCACTGTTGTTCCTCTGCATGCTTCCAACCCAGCAGAACAGCTATAATGACCGCTGCCCTTGATCCTGCGGGATTTTCCCTATCTGGAACAATCTCTCCGTTTTCCTTCTCCACGGGGAGAACTCTCCTGTGCGAGGCTGATGAGGGTTTACTTCTGGGTACAGAAATGGCCACAGGCAGGCAGAAATTGTAACAGCCAGTTCAGTCACAGCGGAGGATGTGCACTAACGTTTTGGCCGTTCAGTTCCTCTGACTGGGTTTAACAATATGGCAGTAGTTCCAAAATATGAAACTGCAATGTTTTGTACGAGGTTTTGAGACCTACAGCATGGTTCCTTCAGGCTGTGGTATTTCATTACTGCGAGATCAAACACCCACTTCTCCCTACTCAGGAGGATCAGAAATCTGCCCGGCAAGCCTGCCCAGCCACAAAGGATTACTTCTTTATTTGTAAATTTGTTGTGGTTGTAGGTGAGTGTGTATTTACTGCCTTCCTCCCCGAACAGAGAGGAGGCATCTCGGAACTACCCTTCCAAGGAAGGTGCCTGGCTGACAGTCCCTCCAGGACGGAGGAGCTGCTGGTCCCACTGCCTCCTCCTCACGGCCGCGTTCACACCCACCATCCAAACACGCTCTATCTACCACAAGCTTTACAGCAGAATTCAAAATGCAAACAGGGTTTCTAATCACCTACAAAGGTTTGTCAGACCTAAAAATCACGGGTCAGGACCTGCAGGTTCTTCCTACATCGAGCAATTCTGTTGATCTACCAACAATACTGACATCCAAATGGACACACAAGAATTCACAGATCACATAAAATTGGACTTTCAGCACCTGCGAAACTTGGCAGGATTTATACCAAGTGTTGGACTCTCCACGTTGTAAAATACATATATTCAGTAACTAGGACTCAAGTCTTGAGCACCTCTCAGTCGCACTGTGAACGTATTCTGACCACAGGAGAGCGTGGTAAGACAACAAACTATTTCACTAAGACTTACACTTTTCAGCTACATTGCTCAGCTTTATCGCGACCCAAACTTTGTTTTTCTGAGAGTTTCTGGAGGTACCATTTATTCAGTCTGTTGTCACTGACTACCTCCTCTGAGTTCATCACCTCTGGAAAGAGCCTAGCAATGGAAAAGTTATCAGCTGCTGCTTCTTCTCCACAGACAGTCAACAACGGGGCAGTGGCCACGAGCTGGTTATATATTCTCACTACACTGACACACACATTCCCTGAAAGGCTGAAATGCAATGCTACGAGCTTTGGATCCTGAGATTTCTTTTTCTCAATGACTTCTATGAGCATACATTACTTTTCAATACCTGTATGTGGCCGGTGACAGAAGAAAACAATGTTTTGATTCAAGAAATACATCTGACAATCCCTTTCACATAAAGTAAATTAAAAAAAAAAATCTCCAGGACTAATAGCTAGAAATAATTAGAAAAATCAGAGCACTTGAAACCATAGTGTGGAGACTTGTTCTCCCACTTCCCAAGAGCAGCAGCACAGATTTGGTTTGGGCTTTACACCGCATTACAGGCAGGAACGGCAGACCCGCTGTTAGCCCTGTGCCGAGGGCACCAACGCAAGAGCAGCTGGGCTCGAAATTCAGCACGGAATCGCAAAAGGGGCTGCTCCTCACAAGCATGCAGACACTGCCAACGTGCACACGGGTTTGCAAGACTGGATCTAGTGTACAGCAAGCATAAAATCCCTTCACAGCACCAGCGACAGCTAAGTAATTTTTCTCATGGCTAGTAACACTAGAAACTGCAGGTAATACTTAAGAGTAAGAACAATCTCAGAGGAATCCTGCCAGTTCAAAACAGCTGAAGATCTAGCTTTTTGACACTTCTTGTACTGTGTTATCAGAAAAAGCGTCGATTAGAATATTTTTCTCCTGATGCTTGATGGGTTCCTGAGCTCTAGGTATCTTGAAAACAGCCATCTGCGGCTGTTCCTGATAGAACACATCTCTGCCCGCTGCCTATGGACAGGGCCCATGAACACACAGACCTCTGCAGAAACCGTCCCCTCGGTTATCTGCAAACGGGACTTGAATATTTACAGAGTCGAGTTCAATACCGTATTACTACACCGGCTTCCTCTGAACTGGTCCATACCATGAACTGCACGGTAGCCTGGGTCACCTACAGAGGCTTCCCAGCTTCTTTCACTCCTCCTGCCACCTTGCTTTCCTGTGTTTCCTTTAGGAGAAAACCTGCACTTCTCTTTTTTCTTTCCTACTTCTTCTTCCCTCAAGAAGCTTGCTTTGTATGTAATCTGTAATGAAAAAGTTAACAGCAGTAAACCCAGCACGGGCAAGACATCCGCATCTGACCACAGGACTATTTGCTGTCTCACTGAAGAAAAGCATGACCTTTCAGAACAGAAAGTATTTTCATTCATGGGGGAAAAAAAAAAAATGACTGTACCTAGCTCTGTGCTCTTGATACCACACGTGCCCCATTATCCCTGACATTCCTCCAGGCATTATGGAGACCACAAGAATTCCCTCTTCATTTAAAAATAAGATAAAAATGAAAA